TTAATATTAATAAGTAAATTTTAAATTTAATATTGGTATATATTTAATAAATTTTTTTATATAAATATACTATATAATATTTGAGCAAAAATTACTGAGTTCTCCTGAAACCGTAACCGGGCTACTAGCTCTGCCCCGGTGACAATAAGCGGCGAACACGGCGTAGTGGAGGGGCCTTTTTGGCCACACTTCCATGTAAGTTTAAAATCTGTGCAGATATTTGCAGCAATGCCAAAGCCCAACTCCTCACATTACCTCTCATTTCCGTACGGCCTCTTTGAATTATTCCCACAGTTTTCTTTACTTTCCACGCCAACACTGATGGTCGTTTGGTACGAGGAACAGGATAATAACTTCGGTGAAAATAGCACGGACTAGTTAGTTTTTAGATTATTAATTGAAAAATAGTTAGCGTTTGTAAAATTATTGAAAAATAGCCGCTATTTTGCTGCAATACAAAAAGTTCCAGCATAATATACTGGAGATTATTGCACCTGCATATGCACTTCTAGCATATTATGCTGGAACTCCAGGACACGGAAAGTTTCAGCATAATATACTGAAAATTGGAGCACCTGTGTGTAAAATTCCAGCATATTATGCTGGACCAGTATATTATGTTGGAACTGTAATGTATTATGCTGGAATTTCAGTATATTTTATTGAAACTCCAATATACGGATTTTGAACAGTGTTTTCGTTCATATTTATATTTGCATGAAAAATGGCTAAATTTCGATTACTTTTGAAACGGTGACTATTTTTCAATTACCACTTGTAAATCTGGCTATTTTTTAATTTCACCCATAATTTCAGGATAGAATTTAAAAATGTATTTATCTCATATTTGATAATAGGATTTAGTTAATTCCGAAATAAGTTTTACATTAAAATTGTAAGATTGGCTATCTTATATAAAATGTGGTATAGCCGGTTCCTTGTGATATCACATCCCATAAGATATCTTTGTTTATTTCACCATTGTACAAAACGACCTCTTAATATCCACGCTCCTTCATGGGAATATGATTAACTCTTTGTTAATTACACTAAACAAATATTTGTCGTTTTAACTAATTAAATTTATATTAAAATTATTGCAGTTCTAATTAATCTAGATTCTTAGAAAGATTAAAAAGAAATAGTCGAGACAAGTACACTTATAATTAAAATTGTTGATGGGTGTGTCACAATCTAAAAAGAACAAATACTATGATCTAGGTAATATTTTTGTTATTTTCCATCTCTTGGGATGCTTTTCATTTTTTATGTTGTTTCTAGTGAGATACCAGTATATAGGTAGACCATGCTCTCTACTCTCCTATTCCTCAATTTCAAGAGTCTTTCCTAGAAATCTTTTCAATTTTTTGAAGGTTTGTGTCTATGGAAAGAAAATGTAAGAGGTTTTTTTGCTGTTAAATAAATAACTAAATTATTCAATATTTGGACAAAACAGATCCAAATGGAACTATAATGAAGATTCATTTAATCGATCCCAAAAAACTTAAAATTATGGTATAATTGTTGTTCTTGTATGAGTTAGTTATAGTTAAAGGCATGTATATTTAGAGTGTCGAGCAGACAGAATATTCAAGATTAGTTATAGTTAAAGGCATGTACAGTTCATTTATGTAATTTTATTTAAAGTTAATTTTTTAGTTTTTTAAGATGTAAAGTTATTAAGTTTTTACAATAGATTCTCTTTATATTTCTTTTTCAGTTGATAATTTATCCAATCCATCTAATTTTGCTTAAGATATTGTTTACATAACTCCTTTTGAGATGGTATTGAAGTTCAGTTTTTCTCCTCTTTTTTCTTTTTGTGTATTTTGAGTAATCTGATTTACACGTTTGAATTCTAATATTCAATAAAAAGCAATATACACATATAAGTAGAACTTACCAGAGGTAAAATTTAATTATAAGACAATAGAAGTTAAAATAATATAACCTGATTTTAGAAGTTGATAATTTGACATCACTACAAATTTTCACTGATTCAGTTCGCTTTTTGCAATGCTTGAAAACTAAGAAAAGAGAAATACACAATTTAATTTATTCAATGCCTTTGCCCTTATTTTTGAGAGAATGGATAAATTAACGACATGAAAAAAAGGAAAGTACATGGTATAAATTTTATTACTTATGAGAAGGTAAAGAAAAGAAAAAGAATATTAATATCAGAATGAAAATTTTCATCTGTCACCATCAATCATATGGCTAAATCGTTCTCTTTTATTTTTTAATAAAATCATATACTGTATTTTTTTTATCATACAATAGTCAATAGTAGTATTTTTTTAAGAGAGATTAACTATAAGAAAAATTACATTATTAATTTTAAAAAAATGGAACCTCAAAAGTTGGGGGCCCTAAAGCCTTTGCTTTAGTGGTTCGACCCTCCATCTGGCCCGATTGTATCTACCGCAACAAGTAAAAATAATTTGATGGTGTAATTTTTTTTGTCGCTAACCATATATATAACTTAAAATCATAAACTAATTACTTGTAAATCCATTCTAACCGGAGAAGAAGGAAACACGAGCACGAGTTTCATGATCAAGTGCAATGACATGACCATTGAGCTTGGGAGGAACTAATGTACCTTTGCTTATAATCGTAGGTTTGATTATTCTCATTTAAAAGGACTTAGCTTTTTCACTCTTATAAGAGCTATACCTATATTACCTTAGGATTCTAATGAGAAGCCTATTTGATTTTACACCATACCTTTTTATGTCTGGACAAGACAATAAATTTGTTTGTCAAATCAAACTTGTTTTGTTACCTTTACCGTGAACATCTACCGCCGAAGCTAATATCAATCAAAACTTTTTCTTTTTTTTAGTTTTCTATTCGGTAACGGGGATAAATCGCTCCCTAATAAAGGTGATTTCATATTCAGGATTCAAATCTGATACTTCTTGTTAAGGATGAAAGAGTACTTACCACTCGATCAACTAACAACCCTTTGTTGGTGAATCAAAACTTTTTCATTTCATTGTTTTAGTGGTAATGAAAAAATAAGAAGAAGACCTAATTCAAATAACCACTCATTCACTTATTTAAATATATAGAGTACAGTTGAAATCTGCATGAGAAAGATAGCCCAGAAATCTCGCTGATAACATACACAGGGAAGTTGATACATACTACACAACGAGTACTTCATTGCCTGCGCCCTATGCTCTTTCCATTTAACTTTCTTAATTTGGAAACTCTATTGTCCTTTGCCTACTTGTCTAGGCCTTGTTATACGTTAGGATTTAAATTATATGCATTTGACAATGATTTTTTTTTTATATTATCAATATATTTTAACATGTTATATAATTGTTTCCGTTTTTATCAGGTTATCATTATTGATTATCGTCGAGATTTACATGTAAAAATTTTGTTGTTTAAAGTACTGCAATGTAATGCTAATTTTTTCTTCTTTTATTTTTGCGTTTTTTTCCCCATACATATTTGTGATTGTGTTTTCATTAAACCCCATTTTTTTTTATAGGATTAGTATAATCACAAATTTACTCTTACATAACATTGTTGATCTTAAAATCATTCTTTCATAACTTGTCATATTTTAATAAGTATACTTCTACCAAATAATACTGCCGTATCAATTTTCTTTTATCAACTAAGAAAAAATGCCTTAACATAATATGATCAAACACTATAATTTCTGCAGTGACGTTAAAAGACTAATAGCATGTTTGGCCGAGCTTCTCCAAGTTGAAAAGTATTTTTTTTTTCAAAAAAAGTGAATTTTTCCCAAAGTTGAAATGTTTGGCCAAAATTTTAAGAAAAAAAAAGTGTTTTTGATGAGAAGCAAAAACAGTTTTGGAGAAGCAAAAAAAGTAGCTTCTTCTCATATTCACTTTTTTGAGAAGTAATTTTGAAAAAAATAGATTTAGAAACACTTTTTAAAAGCTTGGTCAAACATGCTTCTCACCAAAGGTACTTTTGAAAAACAACAACAACAAACTCAGTTTGATCCCATAAATGGGGTCTGGGGAGGATAGTGTGTACGCAGACCTTACCCCTACCTCATAGAGATAGAGAAGATGTTTCCGATAAACTCTTGGCTCCTTTTAAAAAAAAAACACTTATCAAAACAAGTTAATTATTCCAGCTAAACCAAACAGACTACAATACTCCTATACAACAGACTATAATACTCCTATGTGAATGGAAATATTGTGAAGAATCTTTTAAGGTAGTCGCATCAATCAAACGAAAGTCAAATCATGATGACATAAATCTAAGGGGCGAGAAAAATCAGAGCTGGCTTTCACAACGGAGGAATATATAGACGGCTTTGTGTTGCTTGGAATCTTAAAAAATATTGATAGATGCATGTGGCTTTTTTAGATGATCCGGTACGACTACCGCGATGAAAATAAAAATCAGTACCCAAAAATGAATACATGATGGGGAAGACATGGTGCTTCTCTGTCTTCATCGTAATCCTTTATAAAATATATATATATATATA